CTTTGGGCTCGGCAAGCCTGATGTCACGTCCTTCCTGATGCATGTCCGAGGCAGATAAAGGCTTAAAGTGAAACTGCAAAACAGTACGAAGTCCTGGAAAACCCTGCGTGGGTTTTTCTTCTTCAAACTGAGGTTATGTTGCTAATTTCACTTTGGATGCTAAATTTGGGAATGGGCAGAGGTGACCCAGGAGATCCTGGAAACACTCCTGAGTCAGAGGAGCTGAAGGGTATTTCCAAAAGTGCGTGTCTTGCAGTGACCTCCCCCTGTCACGGGTGAAATATCTCACACGGTTATGATTTAGAAACAATTTATTAATGGTGTGTGGTAAATCAAAGGTTTTTAACAGCAATTAATGACAGATTAATTGAAAGATTAACAAGGTGATTCAGTAAAATATGTTATGATTAAAATAGCGACTTAATTAAAGATTTGAGAACCATAAGATTCACAGTAACTTACTACAAAGAATCCTAAATATATATATGTGTTTCCCCTTCATTCAGGAATCAAACTTCCCCTCCCTTGGGAGCAAACCCCAACCCCAGCATCAGGTTTCAGCCCACAGTGCCAGGAGGAGGAGCAGGACCGTAGCCCCACCTCTGTCCCCAGGGCCACCACCCCCTTCTGACCCCTGGGACTCTCCAGCAACTGTGGCTCTGGCCAATCATCGTCCCATGGTTCCCTCCCCCCCCGCCCCGGCCCCCGCAGATGCTGTGGGTGGATGTAGCCTTCTAGGACCCCCTGGTTTGGTGGGATAGTCTCTTAGCAAAGGGGTCGGTGGTGGCATTTTCCCAGCCCAGGAGGGTGACCAGGGAAGAGCTGTGTCTTGTCCCCACTCGTATGGCATCCTTGTGGTGTTGCAGCCATCCCTGCAGGGCTGGCGTCCTCATGGGGATGCCACCATTCCCCACTGATCCAGCGTCTTCAAGGAGATGCCACCACCCCAGTGAGTCACCCCAGTCTTTCCCTCCCCAGTTGGTGGCCAGCAGCGAGGAGGTCTGCCCGGAGCACATCGACCTCATCCACAAGAACTACCCGCAAGCTCTGCAACCTGCTCATCGACGTGGAGGAGTGGGAGCAGGTGGTCATCATCAACATGCTGACCCACTATGCACGCACCCAGTTCCTCAGCCCCAACCAGAATGTGAGTGCAGGAGCCTCGGGGTGCACTGGGAGCCCCAGTTCAGGCCAGGGAGGTGGGGTGAGGGAAGGTGCTGTTGGGGAGGTACAAGGCGTCCCCTTGAGTCAGAGGAGCTGAAGGACATCTCCAAAATTATGTGTCTTTCAGTGACCGCCCACCCACCTCCAAGAGACCTTCCACAGACCGCAGCCTCATCAGGCACACAGCTTCTCATTTTTGCTCCCTTCTTAGAAGCCACAGGGCCATTTCCCCCTCATTCAGGAACCAAATGTCTGCTCCGGTGGGAGTGAAGCCTCCCAGAAACTCTACTGTGAGTGTGGGAACAGCAAGAGTCCCTGAAGGAAAGCCCAGAGAGAGACCTGAAGCAGCTCTAAATAATTCCAGCGGAGGAACATTTTCACAGGATCATGGAACAGTTGAGGTTGGAGGGACCTCTGGAGGTCATCTGGCCTGACCTCAACCTATAGCTCCTTGCCCAGGTCCATGTCCAGATAACTTTTGAATACCTCCAAGGATGGAGGCTCCAGAACATCCCTGGGTGACCTGTGCCTTCATTGGTCTCTCCCCAGTATGTCTATGTATCTCTTGTATTGGGGAACCCAGCACAGGACCCAGCGCTCCCAGGATGGCCTCACCAAAGCTGAACAGAGAGAAGGATCACCACCCTTGACCTGCTGGCACGTTCCTCCTAATGCAACCCAGGATGCTGCTCGCCCTCACCAAGCCCCAAGACCACCATGCTGGCTCATGGTCAACTTGGTGTCTTCCAGGACTCCCGGAGGACGTTGCTTGCTGGCAGCTTCTGGGAAAATGAAAATGAAAGTGAAAACAACACAAACCAAACAGGGCTGGCCCAGGCTCTCTGTGCAACCGTTTATTGCCATGCAAGAGGGATGCCAATGATGCCAGTGCAACACCAGTCACCCCGAGAAGGATGCTGCAGCCCTGTGCATCCCGTGGTCACATCACTGCCTCCATCACTGCAGTGCTGGGGACACCTGGGAGAGAAGAGAGGTTGTGGTGATTCTTGGCTGGGAGAGACATTGGGGTCCCCTGGGATGGTGGCACCTACTGTGGCCCCAGTGAGCTGGCCCAGCCCCAGCAGGGCAAGGGCGAAGTGGATGCAGTTGCAGGTGACGGCATCATACTCCACCACCTGGTCCATGGCCACCCGGATCCGCTGCTGCAGGGTGGCCGCATCCAGCCCTCCCTTCTTCCGCAGCACCTTGGCTGGACCCCGCATCCGCAGGAGGTGGCTCTTGCTGTGCTTGGCCACAATGCCTGATGGGGATGTCCCTGAGCTGCCTGCAGGGTGGAGGGGATGCTGTACCTCATGTCCCTTCCATGGGGACGTCCCCATGCTGTGACCACCTCCTGGGGCTCACCTTCCAGGTGGATGATCTCCCCGTCACCGCAGTAGACACCAGCATGGGCACCCCACCATCCGGGGCCCCCCGAGGCCAGCGAGGCCAGTGGGAAGAGGAAGAGGTCCCCAGGCTGGGGCTCAGTCACCCCATTGGGGACCACATCGAAGTGCCGGCCCAGCAGCCCCTCACAGAGGAAGAACGCCGCCGTGCTTGCCACCCCGGTCACTGCCTGGGGACCCGTCTGTGTTTCAGGGCCACTGGTGCCCCTAAGGATACCAACCTGTGGGCTCATCCCCCACCCCCGGTGGCATGGACACAGCTTGGGTCTCCATGAATGAGGAAACCTCCCAAGAAGGGGCCACCTCCTCTGCTGAGCGCCCATGGGTGCTGAGGGTGTGCCTGTCTTGCCACTGCTGGCACCCTGCCGTGCCAGTGGTGAGAGGAGTGCTGCGGGGCAGAGTGGGGATGCCGGCACTTACC